CAGGTCAGCTCACCTGCTACGTGCCAGGAGCTCTATTGCCCCAGGTTTTTTTTTTCCTTTAAAGCATTTCTCCCTATTGAGATGAAATTATCGCAATTGTCTTAATTATGTACAACTATTGCAAAGACTGTTGCCTTGTGAGGAGGAGGGTCCCTGTGCTCCTGCGCCCGGCTCAGCGCCCACCCATCAGGTGCTCAGCAAATGCCTCTGCCAGAGGAATGACACCCGGCAGGTGCAACATGGGAGGGACCCGGGAGAAGGATACGAGAATAAAAGTCGTTCACTGCCGATAAACTGGTCACGTCCACCCCGCCAGTCATAGACAGCCTGCAAACTGGCTTGGACCAACTCTTCTGCTTGTATCTGGAAGAAAAATAAAAATGATCAATCTTTTTTCTTCCCTTCAACTATAATCAAACATTCTACCTTTCAAAAAATTGAAAATAAAAATAAAGTTGTCCTATCACTTAAAAAGTCATAGTTTATAACACAGAGGAAATAAGTAAATTGGCTACCTTAACTTTCCTTCAGGAAAAACTTTAGTTTTCTATTAAGAAACTCTAGCTTTTCCCTTAGGAAAACTTGATGAAAATAATATTATTTTATATTGCCAAAGATAATTCATTACCTATCTATGAGAAAGCAAATTTGTCTCCTAATTCTCAAATAATTATGTATACTTAAGAAGACTCCCAACCAGTTATAAATTATCTGTATTTCCCTTTAAACGTAAGTTCTTAAGTTCTCTAAAGCGTGACAAGCAGTTGGTATGGGTTTAATAAGCACTGGCCTTAAACCCTAGCGATAACTTTGCAGAGGAATGTACTCGGCCAGCACTTCCAGAGAGTGCTCTTGCCCGGAGAGAACTCTCCAAGCGAAGACAGAGCCCCAGGGAGGTCCAGGAAGGGCTGGATCAGGCCCAGGCCCAGGCAGACACTGGGACCACTCTGGGGGCAGGTGGATGGACAGCGACAGGGTAGCTCAGTGTCTGCAGGATCTCGGGATAGCTAGCCTGACAGTGACAGCGGAACGGGCCACCTCGCCCAGGGCGGCTGTAGGGCGGCAGTGGGACAGGCCTCAGGGCTGGAGGGGCTGGCCCCAGGGTGGCCACACACAGACGCCAATCACAGGGAGGTCTGGGGATAAACATCCGATCACAGGACAATGACAACGTAAGTCACTGCACACTCATAATGCAAAACTGCTTAAGATCATGCAGAACAATGTCTAAGACAGCAGAGAGCAGCTATTCAATTTGGGAAAAACGTACAGAAACTCTATGGACGGTACAGACGAGGAAAGGGAAAGAACCACCGCAGAGGGACAGCCGGGCGCGCGGCGTGAGACCTGCAGCTGGACACACGGGAGCCCTGTGGGGAAGGCCGGTCTGGAGGCGTTCAGGCAGCACAGGGAAATAATCTTTCAAAATCAAAATATGACACTTTTAGGATCATTGCTTTTCCAATTTTCTTTGCCACCAACTGGTTGTAGGTTTTGATTATTTACTCTAAGCCTATGTCTGCCTGACGAGGCAAGAGATGTGAGCTAGCAAGTGTCAGCTCACTAGATCAGTGAGGTTTTGGTGGGGTCGTCACCTGCAGTGGGGACACGGTAAACAACACGGCTGTTGTTCAAGAGGCAGATGTCCACCGTCCTCGTGTCATCAGTTGTGTCATCAGTCAGGGCTGCAGTCACAGCGGCCACCGCCTTCCTGCACTGGAGGGGCTGGGACCCCCGCAGGACCCCCAGCCGGGCCCGGCCATGGCTGAGGGAGGGCAGAGACTTCTTGAGTCAGGACCATCAGATGTGTCCTTGGATGCAGCAGGGAACTTGCAGCTTCAAATCCCAACTCAGGTCACTCTGTCTCCACCTACCGTTGTCCATCATAAACGTTGCCAAACAATAGCTGGGTTCTCATTTAACGTTTAGCTACTTTTGGTGATTTTTGGTGTTCAAGAGTTTCCTCCGCCTCCTTCTTTGATCAGTCTGTGGTCAACTCATCAGACTTTTCCTCATAGGGTTTATGTATTTCCACGTGTGCTTAGAGAAGCCTGCTACCCTCAGCTGAACATCACAAATTGAGCAAATGCAGTGGCTTCACTACCTCTCCATACCCAACTGAAGTGCCCGCCGGGTGATTTTTAAGGCAACGACCCCCGAGAGTGAAAAGAACACAGGAGGAAGCCAGAGGGAAGCGGCTCATTTCCAAATCTCAGAGACAATCCGAGTCTTCTGCACCAGCTCACTTGGAAGGTCGGCGGGGAGGGCGGGGGCAAGTAGATACATGAAACTCTCCCTCCCACAAAACAAAAATAAAGTTTGGGGCTTCAAAGCCGATGCATCTCTGGAAACAGGGCAGGGGGAGACTGCGGATGGGAGGCTGCTCTCCGCGGTGCGGAGTCCACGAGTCCTGGAACCTCCCTCCCCCCGCCCACCCAGCCCCAGCCCGGGACTGAGGTTCACTCCCGGGACCAAGCGACCCTGGGAAAAGACGCGGCAGAGGAGGCCCCAGCTAAGACAGGGGACTCCATGCAAGAATGTCTGTGGCACGGGGAGCCCCTCACCCCTTCACAGATGAGTACATGGACCTAAGCCAGCCACGGTAACCCCACTCACCTGGCCAACAACTGGTCCTAGGACGGGCTGCAACCAAGCTGGGGCGAAGGAGCCACGAAGCCACCTGCAGTGTGAAAAGCCTTCCTCGCTGAATAACAGGAGGGAAAAGGCTTTGGTGTAGTTCCACTGGTTTATTTTTGCTTTTGCTGCCTGTGCTTTTGTGCTCATAGCCATGAAATCATTGCCAAGACCAATGGAAGCTTTTCCTCTAGGTGTTCTTCTAGTAGTTTTATAGTCTCAGATCTTTCATTTAAGTCTTTAGTCCATTTTGAGTAATTTTTGTGTATCGTGTAAGGTAAGGGTCTAATTTCGTTCTTTTACATGTAGATATCCGGTTTTCCCAGCACCACCTGTCAGAGAGACTGTCCTTTCCCCACTGTGTGTTCTTGGCACCCTTGTCCGTAGGTGTATGCACTTGTTTCTGGGCTCTCCATTCTGTTCCACTGGTCTTCTTTTATTCCAGTACCATACCATTTTGATTACTGCAGCTTTGTAGTATAATCTGAAGTAAGGAAGTATTATATCTCCAACTTTGTTTTCCTTTCGCAAGATTTCTCTGGCTATTCGGGGTCTTTTGTGGTTCCATATGAATTTTAGGATTGTTTTTTCTATTTATGTAAAATATGCCATTGGCATTTTGATAGGGATTGCATTGACTCTATAGATTGCTTTGGATAGTACAGACATTCTAATAAATAGTCTTCCAATCCATGATCACAGGATTTCTTCCCAGTTGTTTGTGTCTTCTTTAATTTCTTTCATTATGTTTTATAGTTTTCAACTTCCTCAGTTAAGCTTATTCCTAAGTACTTTATTCTTCTTGGTGCTATTGTAAAGGGGATTGTTTTCCTAATTTCCATTTTAGATAGTTAGCTGTTAGTATAGGAAACGCAACTGGTTTTTGTATGTCAATCTTGTATCCTGTAACTTTATGGACTTAATAGTTCTAACAGTTCTACATCACACTAGAAGCTGCTACACAGCAAAGGAAACAATCAACAGAGTAAGGAGATAAAACCTAAGGAAATAGGAGAAATTATTTGCAAACTATATATCTGATAAAGGGTTAATCTCCAAAATAAATAAGAAACTTATAACACTCAATGGCAAAAAAAACTAATAACCTGACTAAGGATTGGAATAGATGTTCCTCTAAAGAAGACACACAAATGGCCAACAAGAATAAGAAAAGATTGGGGAAATGTAAATCAAAACCACAGTGAGCGACCACCTCACGTCCCTCAGGGTAGCTGTTATCCGACAACAGCAAGGATGTGGCGCAGCCGGACACCTGCACACGGCTGGTGGGGACACAAATGGTGGCGGTATATTCCCAAAAGTGCAGAAATTGAGGTCTTAGACACCTGCATGCTCACATGCACTGCAGCACCACACACGACAGCCAAGACATGGAATCTCCAAATGTATGCCGAGGGATGAATGGATACAGAAAACGTGGCCTGTAGAAAGAAGGAAATCCTGCCATTTGCAACAACATGGATGAAACTGAAAACATACTGCTAAGTGAAATGAGCCAGGCACAGAAGGGAAAACGCTACGTGATTCCCCTCATACGAGGCACGGGAAGCAGTCTGACAGAAGTGAGCAGGGGAGGCTGGGAGGGCATGAAGTCTCAGCTGTACGAACAAAGTCTAGAGCTCTGCTGTGCAACACCGTGCCTCTGCTGTACTGTGCATTTGAGAAAGGCTTAGAGGGTAGATCTCATGTTAAGTGTTCTTACCACAATAAAAGCAATTTGAAAAAAGAGAAATGCCAAGACCAGCACCAAAACTTCCTGCACCTGGAGCAATAGTGTATTGACACCTGGACCATTAGGACAAGGGCCAACAGTCTGGGATGGAGGGAAAGGACAGGAAGAGCCTGACCCCCTGAAGACACTGAGCATAGGACACATACCAGGGCCCCACATCTGGGGTGAGGGAGCAGCTGGGTGGGGTACAATCCAGAGTCCCACCTGACACCTCACGTAAGGCACAAGACTCGTGCTGCAGATAAACCCATTTGAACCAAGGCGTGGGTGGCTGGAGCCAGCCTCACGCAGGGGCCTCTGGCTTCTGTGCCATCTGCTCCCCAAACCGGGTCTGATACCATCAGCACCCACCGAGGCTTGGAAGTGAGAGAAATGAGAGAAAAGCACTAAGTGATGTGTTGACATATCCCTGGCATTTTTAGTAAAACTACAAGAGATGGGTAAATGCAGATGTGAGGGAGCCAGTCTGGAACCAGACTCGGAGGAGCACGCAGCTTTGCTGAGAGACGCTCACTGCCTTTGGTCTGCACATCGGTGAACAGTCCCTTCATTTGGAGCCTTGCTGGTTCGAGAAAGTCAGTCGCTACGTACAGGTAACCCTGGTACAAGTGGCAGCAAAAAAGCTGCAGCCCGAGCAAGGAGCAGGACCGGGACTCAGTCCTTCCACAGCAACTTCCACCATTCTCAGGGCATCTGCTGTGAGAAAGAAGATGACGCATCCCGGAGAAGGTAGGAAGGAGAAAACCTGCCCCGGGACCGTGCCCCGCCCTCTGGAAAGGGACAGAACCTCCTCCCCTCCCTGGGCTGGAGCAGCGGCACTCAGAGGCCATGCGGAACCTGGCAAGGGGAGTCTGAAAATGTCCCTCGTGGCCCCGAGGGTGGACACATGTGGGCAGCACGCGCTGTTCACAGCAACCACAGGTCAGAGACACCTGCTGCCCCTCAGCGAGGGGAGCGCAAAGGTCTGCACATCCGAGCGTGGAATATGGCACGACAGCTAAACAAACACACTGGTCACACGCCTCAGAAACTAACTTTGATTATTAAGAAAGGTGTGCTTATGCTACACTGAAACCCTCAGAAAATGAAATTGCATGAATACATACAGATACAGCAAAAAATACAAAACCATGGATGGGAAGCAAATGCACCAATTGCACAGGAGGAAAAAGGAAGAAAACATGACGGGGAGGGTGGGGGGCCTCTAGTTCTCTCTGTAATGTTTTATTGCTTTAGATATTTATTTAAAAAGACAGCAAAATGTTAATGTTTTTCTAAGCTAGGTGTTTATTATTTCCCATGTACACCCATATACTTCATCTATTTCCTAATTTTAACTTGTCATTATAAATAGTATTTGTCCCAGATAACGTCACTCAAATATGCCGTGGAACCAAGGTGATCATTCAGTTTTCTTAAATCCCCAATTCCCTCATCTCATTCTCTCAAAGCCATAACTATGGAACACAAAGGTAGGTTTAAAATAGGTAGAAACTGGGTTACTCCAGTTTGGTGATACGAGGCTATTATTAAATGTCGAGCGACAGTTAAATGTGAACATCATCTCAGAGGTGCCTCTGGCCCAGAAAGACAGTGCAGAGAGGAGGAGGCCGCCTACCTTTTTATCTCGTCTTTGCAAGTGTCAATGTGATACTTCAGCAGCTGACATTCAGAGCCAGAAGACAACAGTATAAAACCATCCATATAGTAAAACTGTGCAGATTGTATAGGCTTAGAAAACATGTCTTTGCCCTATAATGAAATCAGTAATTATCACCAATATAATAAATGTTAACAAAAAACACTATTGCTCTAAACAGAAATTCTTTCATAATACCTAATATCTATTTATTCTAAAAGCGTAAATGTACTTTGTTAGAACCAACTTACAGTCTTTGTTTCTGCTTACTACTTCTGAGAGGTACTGTATGATTAAAATTTTACTACAACGAGTGTTAGAATTCTGACTATTTAAAAACTTTAAAATAAAAGAAAATTGAAAGTTAGCAGTAAACATCCAAAAGTGGCAAGGATTTTATTAAAGCTGAAATTTAAAACATGTTTTAAAATACAGTTCTAAGGTGTCTACTCTCAAATTTAGATCCCACAACAGCATCACGGCAGTGTTAACAACTCTTAGGGAATTACTCCGCAAAGCTGCGCCAAACACGCGGTCCTCAGAGCCCCGGTCTCTGCTGATCTTCCCTTCCTTTTCTGTCTCCCTGGTACTCGGTCCCCTTATAACAGAACCATGGAAAACAAATGCTGACAACGTCTTTGAAAGTCTCCACCGTTAATGTTATGTTCTCTGCAGTTGACCCGCTCACAGTTCCGTGAGTTGGGGCACAGTTTCTTCTCACGGCCTCCTCTCCTGCCCCAGTTGTGACTGTTGTCACTTCCTGTCTCTCCCATTCTCTTTCCAGTGGTCTCCCATATAGTCATTAAAACGGGTCATTTTCCTCCCCAAAATCTAGTTCTTCCACGTAATATCCCCTTGGAGATTATTACCTGAACCATCAAAGCACATTGAATTAATATTTAAAATTTTTCAGATATTTTAACATTAGTCATTTTTCAGACCACAACAAACATGAGGACGTATTTAACTGTGTGTGCACACATGCAGCAAGTATGTGTGTGTACATGTGTGGTATGCATGTGTGCATGTTATGTGTTTGTGAATATATACATATACACACAAAGGTAAGTAACTATTAATAATTAATCGATAATTTTCATTGCATCAAAGCAAACTCTTGGTTCACGTCCATGCCCTAGTCTGGGTCAGGCAGAAGGACGGGACCCGTGGGAGGGTTCTGGCGTGGGCAGCAGGACCGCCCTGCGGGGCGGGGTCTCGGTGCTCACTCTGAGCGACACCTGCGATGGGCTCACTGTCCATTACCAGAAACAGCGCGAGCTCCGTCCTGCGAACTGACCACACCCGCAGCGTCCTGTCCTGGGCAGCAGACAGCAGCCACCTCTGGTCGTGGCTCCAGCAGACGGAGTTCACGGCCCCATCGTGACCTGACAGGACAGTTGAGGAAGGAACAGCCAGAGAGGTTATCACGTTACTTCACCTGTGATCGTTCCTTACCTAGCACTGTCATACAACACACCTGGAACTGCACTTCCTGAAGTAACAAATAAAGCACCTGGAAGCATCTCCTAGCCATAGTGATGCCGAGGTGCAGGATTAGAGGCTTAATACAGTTTCTAAGGGACGTTTTCCTAAAACCATATATTTCTTAAAACATGAAGCTCAATAACTATGTGTGCATCTCCGAGTGTAAGTTTTAAGGAAAGAAAATTATAAAATCCAGTATTTTAAAGTATAGTGTAGAGATCTGTGGATTTCATGATAATTTATCAGTAATTTAAAGAATTATTCTTTAAACATTGAAGGAAAAGTCAGAAACTGTACTGAACGTATGCACATGGAAGGCGATCATTTGTTGTGATCCATCTGAAGTTTTATTGAAACCTCAAACTGCGTGGAGAGCTGGTTTCTGGTCTGCAGGCGTCTGGTGCGGTCCGCGGCCGTGCACAGCTCTAACACTAAACTGCAGGTGGGAAGACACCCACAGTCAGCCACATCACGGGCCCATGAGGGCTTTTCCATTCTGTCCCCTCCGCATTTCTACGCCAGCCTAACTCTGGCACCTGGACAGGGCCCCGCTGTTTCTGGGTGGGCGCTCGCTGCCTCCCCTGACCCCAGACCCTGGACACGAGCTGGTTTCAGGACCCGTCTTGCCCTCATGACCTCAGAAAGGCCTCCAAGCCAGGGCGGGCAGTCTTAAAGCAGTCCCCCAGCCTGCCACCGCCGACAGCTCTGAGAGGACGCAGAACCAGAGAAGAGCTTCTCCGAGCTCCGGCCTGGAAAGAAAGCCAGGTGTGCAGCGTGGTGCAAGGGAAGAGGCGCTGCCCAGCCAGGGAGGGGCAGGGGCGGCGCAAGCCTGAGCCCCAGCACCTGGACCCAGCTTCACACACACACCTGGACAACAAACGGCCCCAGACCTGCTAAACAACCACACTTCAGCTCCTGCAGCTGAGCACTTTGATTAAAATTGTGAAGAATAAGTAAAGACAACTCAGAAAAATCTTGCCACAGCTGGGGTCTCCCCTTGGCCAGAACGGCCTTCACGCTGGCCTCAGAATGTGAATTCCGCACGAGAATCTAAAGATTAGACAACAAACCAGAACATCACTCTATAATATTTGTCAGGACACCCAACATAGTATTTAAAAAGTGGAAAAACCAGGAAAGATTTATAAATAAGCATATAACTCAGTTCTGTGACGTGACACAGGAAAACTTGGACCTAAAATCTACTGAGCAGAAAAATACGCGAAGAGCTTTGCTGCCCTCTTGTGTAGAATCCCCACAGCTTCAACGGAAGCCCTGAGGCCGGCTAAGTAAGGCTGGGCGCACTCCTCACCGTGCAGTGAGACCCATGGGAAGGAGTGCCGTGACTGTCCTTAACGAGACCATCCCTGGTGTTCTCACACTTTGCGCTCGGAAGGCGCCCCTCACACCCCGGCGTGGAGGCTGGCCCAGCAGCCTAAGCCCTCGGCCACCACCCCACAGGAGGGCAACCTTGACCTCAACCTCGGACGTGGCTTTGCTACCAGCTCCGAGGCCCAGTCTCCCCCGTCCAAGGAGGAGGCTCAGACCAGCTTCCACCATGGCCTGGACGGCAGAGGCCAGGCGAGGGGGCACGTGGGAGCAGGAACGAGGTGAAGCCGCTGTCCGTGTTCTTCCTTCTCAAGGAGGCTATGACCGCTGGAGCCAGGAACGATCTCTCATGCTCCTGACTCCTGCTGCCCCGTAATACCTGCCGCACCCAGGTGACAGCCACCCACGTGACAGAAGCAGCACTAGGCGCAGAGACAGCCTGACGAGCCGGCCCGGTCCTCCCTCGCGTCAGGGACTGACCTTTCTGCTCCCAGGATGAGAACAGGGAGATTCCTCAGGACTTGCTGGAGTTGGGCGCCCCTGCCTTTCCAGAGCTCTGGCCTAGACACAGGCATGAGCTGCAGCTCGGTGCACCGCAAACCACCTCAGGAGCACCAGGACACCAACCCCCGGCAGAGCCTTCGTCCTCCTCTCTCCTCCACATCGTCCCTCTGGGCAAACTTATTCCCAACCGCAGCTGTCACCAGCACCGAGCACAGGGCCTCCTTTCCACAGACGACTGTCCCCTGCAGTGCGTGTGGTGAGGACAGGAACAGAGAAGAGGTAGTGACACCCTGACCTAGGGGCGAGGGCCCTGCCTGGGGAAAGGGAGCGGACGTGGGCCGCGGCCACGTGGCAGAGGACACAGCGGAGACAGCACGGCAGAGATCAGACGCAAGATGGTCTGCTTTTAACTTCATGATTTTATAAAGATTTCTTTTTATACAATTCCACTATCTGTGATGGAATTGCAATTAATCTTCCGAAATGGCTGACCCTAGAACTTCACTACAGTAACCCAGCGCTCAGGCACATCACAGACGTGGTTCTCTCACAAGATGCGCTCAGACTCCACCCAGAGTTTGCAGAGAATCCACTCTGTGCAGAAGGGATGGGCTGAAGTCCCAACAATCCCTGTGTAGACAACACGTCCTGATGGAGAAATCCTAAAAGCTACAGCACAAACACAAAATCCCTTTATTAAATGTGATTGTTGCGTGGTTTTCAGGCTGGGATGTCCTTCCCTGCTTTGACCTCAAAGCCCCTGATCCTCCAGGAGAGAATTTTAATTTATACTTACCTTACTTGTCTTAGATTATGATGGAAATAATGACACCCATTTTTCTGCCTTCTGGGCAGGTGCTGAGAAACCATCATATTTTCAAAGTTGACTTACATAACCGTTAAAGAACTAGACACACAAAGTGAAACGATCTGGCCGTAAGATGGGAAAAGACTCTTTTTCACCGAGCAGAAATGGAGCAAATCTATTTTTAAGATGGACTTCAGATACTCACTGCACTTCCTCAATTCAGCTGGAAGCCCTTTCTCCAACAGTGACATACGCAGAGAAATGCCCCAGTCAACGTGGTGACCTCTGTACCAATTACCAGCAACAGAGAGATGTCCACTCGGGGACCTCCAGCACGCAAGAGGCGACTTTGCCGAAAGCTAAGGTTTGAGCCTGCAGGAGCCACAGGCTGTGCTGGAACTGTGTGGCCGACGCCAGGTGGATGAGGGGCAAGGACTCGGGGACGGGCAGCGTCCAGTGACCACGCAGAGGCAGCAGCTCTGCTCGCAGCAGGTGCAGAATCAAGTCCTTCAGCCCTTTTGGGGCTCCCAGAACTCTGGGGGTCCAGCGCCTGCAGACAGGCGGGGGCAGCACTTTGTCTACTCCGACGCCCCCCATCCCCATCTCAGGCCTCGCCAGGTCCCCCACCTCCACGCTTCCTAACAGTCACACGGCTTGCCAGGTCTGCACTGCCAGCATGGCGGTCGCACTACAGGCTGTGTGTCCCTCGTCCAAAAGGCTTGGGACAGGAGTGTTTCAGGTGTTAGACGTGTTCAGATTTTGGAATATGCATATTACACTGGATTGAGCATCCCCAATGCGAAAATCCAAAATCTGAAACTCCCCAATGAGCGTTTCCTTTGAGCAGCACGTTGGCGCTCAAAAAACTTTGGATTTTGGAGCATTCTGGATTTTGCATGTTTGGATTAGGGACACTCAACCTGTATGAGAAGAGACGGACGAGGGACAGGTTTCTTGTCCCTGTGTGTATGGTTTTATTAAAACATCTGCCACGTGTACATTCTGAAGCAAGCAGTGTCAGGAACTTAATGAAGAGTTGCAAGATTTTATGGTTTTAGAACTGGGAATCTACATGTCAGAACCATGAGTTGAAACGACAGGAATGTTAACATCCTTACTCTCATCTCAGGCCCACCATCTTTAAAAAATGTTTACTTTGGTTCATTCATAAAAATATCTACGTACAAATCCTTCTGCATTTCAAAATATATTTCAAGTGTGTATCTTTCGATTAAATGAAGTATGTTTCAATCACATGAGACTCAATTCTGCTCGCTCCCCTACGACTCCCTGAAACCTCGGCATCTGCCCCCGGGCCCCAGCCACGAGGGCTGCGGGTTTGGCCTCACAGGTGAGGTTCACCCTCAGGTTCCAGGGCTCAGGGAATCTGGTCACTAAACAGCATCGTTTCATCCCCCCACTCAGGCCTTGGCGCTGTTCTGCTATTGTCTTGAGGACACTAAAGTGACAACAACCTTAGCAAGTGACAACCAGGACCAAAATGAGACCCATCTTTAAAGTCATGTTAATTAAAATGAACACATTTTACCTGAAAAAACAGCAGGTGTTCCTGTAAGACTGGCGTCAAAGACAAGTGACAGGTGGTTGGCTAGGCCACAGGCCAACCGCCGTCCATCTCCTGTTTAAAAACAAATAAGAAATACTTCTTATAAAATCCTAACACAGAGAAATCACACTGGTAAAATGTAGAACTTTCAGTTAAAATGGTCTTGAGTATTGATGGTGATTTCCCCAGGTGGTGAGCAAACCTGAGACAACAGGTAACGAGGCTCACCAAAGACATAAACACCCAACCACCACGCATGCAAAGCTGCCCCAAGTCCCACACCCCAGGTCACACATCCCAGGACACCTCCACACCCTGCTGTGTCCTGTCCCACATCCATGGGTTGTTTAAGAGAAATATTTGTGCGAGCACTTAAAGAGCAATTCCCTAAAGTGGTCAAACTTGAGGATATCTAACTCCAAACGAACATCCTAATCTATAACAGCAAGCATATGAAATATCGAAAGGCTATTTACTTATAATACCACACATCTAATTTCCCAAAACCATTTTTAAATCCTTTGGCTAGAATTATACAATCAATAAAGGGAACCGGCAGGTTTGCAGATAGTGGTCACCTGTGTGATCAGGTGGGTGGTTAAGGGTGGGACACAGCACTGCACGCAGGTGAGGCCTGTGTCCAACCCTGGTGAAGGCAACAGCACATCTGACCTGTATGCACGTCTCACTTCTGAGCAAAGAGTCACACGGTGCCGCGACCTGGACAAGCAGAGGGCAGGTCACAGCTGCCTCCTGACTTCTTTCGCACATTGCTGAGGAATGGACGCGAGTGCCCCACAGAGGTCTGCCACAGGCAGTAGGACACGCTTGCGAACAGGGCAGCGGCCTGGGCAGGCGAGAGTCCTCGCCTGTAGCCACGGTCCCAGCTGAGGGCAGCAGGGCAGGGAGGCCGCACTCACAGCACAGGCGCCATCTGTGGCTTCCTGTTCTTCAGCCCACCGTGGCCAGAGGCCCACGCTCCTGTGTAACGTGGTGACCAGCTTGCCAGCATGTGTCTACGACAGCCCTCCTGCCAGGCTCGTGCTAAAACTCACGTAGGAGCAGTCACACAACAGCAAACCCAGAGGGACTTAGGATTCCAAGTCCCGATGCTGGGGTCGAGCAGAAGCGAGATGCTCCTAATTATTCATGCAATCGCGTTAAAACTGAGTCTTGCTTCTAATCTAGACCCAGACAACACCAGGCAACTTCAAGTAACTGAGATCTTCAAAAACACATTCACATTACGGCAGCAGACAGAACAGACAAGGATCACGAATGCGCGAAGCAGGCCTGGGGCGCGCACCTGAGTACTGGACGCAGCACACGGCGGCCGGGCGAGGGGCGGCAGCGACCTGCCTGCCGAGCTTGGTGGGCAGAGGATCCTCCAAAGCGTACTCCGCCCTGAGGAAGGTCAGAGGTCACAGAAATCAAAGTGAGATTAGAAACAAAACACTAGAAATGAATTGGGTTTCCCCCATTTACATGTGTAATTTTATTGTTAAATTTGAATATAAACATAAACTCTTACATTCAAAGTCATGAAATCACTCTTCAAAATAGACTCACATTCCGTACTGACAAAAAAACACGTGTTTTGCACGTAAAGTAGCAAGGACGGGAACACTGGGGCGAGGACTCTCAGTGAGAGAAAGCGCACTTTACCTTCCAGCGCCACCCGCAGTGGCTGATACATTGCTGATTACTCAAGTCACCTGCAAATGGCTACACCTGCCGTGAAAACACCACATTCTTGACTTGCAAAAGAAACCAGGAAGGCTAGAAAACCGCAGTCCTCACACAGTTCGTGGCAGTGACGGGGATGCGCGGGGAGGGCGCCCGCCCATCCCCTAGGCCACCCCAGCCTTAGGCAAAAGCCCCCACTGGGAGTTCCAGCCTGTGGACAGAGCGGAGCCCGTGGACAACTGGATGTCCTGACAGCATGTCCTGCACCTGGCCTGAGCCCCACCTGCGCGCTGGGCGTGAGCCTGCCGTGTGCAGCTGTTACTGGGTCAGAAGTAACAGGAAGCGCCAGGCACAAAGGAGATGGGAGCAGAAAGAAACTGCTCTGACGTCAACGTATGTTGTTCTAAAAAGCAGGATTCACTGACTGGCAAATCCTCCTCTGCGTTTGCCACCGACATTCAGTGACAGCAGGTAGAACTGGCCTGTCTCAGCAGGACTGCACCGTCCCGTCCACACCAAGTCCTAGCTGCTCAGACACGTCTCCCTGTGAGCAACACTTGCCGGGCCCTGGACGTCACCTCAAGTCCTCACCGCCACTGCCGCCTAGTCCCCAGCAGCACGCCCACCAGAGCCAGACATGCAGGACAGATGCTGGCTCGTCTGGACAGGGCGCTCCTCGCAGAAACAACACCAAAACAGCCAGGCTCAGTGAGACAGGGGTTCTGAGTTTCACACTCGAGCACAGACACATGTACAAGGTTTGGACGCATTTAGCTGCAGGTACAAACTTCACATCAATAACCTGCTGATGTGGAGAGCAGCAGAAAGTGGCAAGAATTGCAAAAAGTTTACGAAAAACATCAAGAAACACTGGCAAAACCGATGTTCTGGCAAGCATTTCTGTAAACATCACGGTTGTTCAAATGCAGACGTGCGCACTCAAGTGAGTGTTATTCAAAGCACAGTAGCCCGTGACCTCTTTTTAGATGACACAATCATAAGTCCACAACCTGGCAGTCCCCAAACCCGCTCTTGTCCAGGCAGAGGGCCCAGGGCATCGTGGGGTGCACCTTGCGGAATCAGCGCCTGCCCCGCGACTGCCCCTGCACTGCCATCCGGTTGTCTCCACAGACACTGACCAAGAACACTCATCAGATGCAGCATTTTCTAAATCTAAATTTTAACAAAAATTAAATAGTTCAAAATTGTTAAGGTGGTCAAAATAGAGCATTTTGAAAAATTAACATGAAAGAATTAAATGTGGCTAAAAGGATATACCTAAATAATACAGATATATACATATTTGTGTACATACATACATACACAGATAAGGTCTTGTGCCTCTTTGAAAAAAAATCAAAGTATTTAAAAAGTCTAAGTTATTTCAAATTTACTTCAAATGCACACGTTAGATTTCATACCGTTTGAAACTGTTCTTGCATTTTGAAGATCTTTTACCATCATTCTTGATGTTAGTCTTTGGGGAAAACATAGTAGCACTATGGAAAGAAAACTCTTATTACTCTCAAACATTGAGTTCTAAGTTTCTTAACAGATTTATATTTTATAGTGAAAAAGATTTTTATATATGATGATTTTATATATAAATGCTTCATGCATCATTTTACTCATGCACCCACTGCCCTCTCAACCCAGCCGCCCACCCGTCCATGTCTCCAAACACCCGCCCTTGCCTCCACCTACCCACTCCTCTCTCCACCCACCCCTCCCTCTCTCCACCCACCCCTCCATCTTGCCATCCACCTCTCCGTGTCTCCAAACACCCCCTGTGGCTCCATCCACCCATCCGTGTCTCCATCCACCCATCCGTGTCTCCATCCACCCATCCGTGTCTCCATCCACCCATCCATGTCTCCATCCACCCATCCGTGTCTCCAAACACCCACCTGAGGCTCCACCCACCCATCCCGGCCTCCAGCCAGCCAGCCACCTCTCCTACCCACCCACAAGAGCCTTATGAGAGGCCTGAAGTGCTGCCCCAGGCACAGGAGGCTACAGAACAGACAATAAGTAAAACAAGTCTGTCTTGCCAAACAGAAAGTGGAGTAGAAAAGGGCTGAGCTCGGGGTGGAGGCTGCAGTTTTACACAGAGCAGCCTGGGACTGGGGCCTGGAGACAGCAGAGCTCTGGTGGGGGCGGCCGGGGCACAGGCAGGGTTCTTGGTGGAGGTGAGCACCAGCCAGGGACAGATCAGTATGCTCTGAGGGTAGGGCCCCAGGCAACAGGGTCCTGCTGGCTGCTATGTTAATAGCACACAAAGGTCAAGATTTGGGGTGGTAGGAGGGTGGTACGTCTGCATTTTATACGGAAAAGACAACTTTGCCTTTGAAAAATCTGGGCCACACTGAGCTTTGCTGCAGTTTCTTACAGCACCGTGCTCTTTCCTGTTTCCTCCCTGGAACAGGTTTTGAACACACTTAATTTCCACACTGCACTGTTACAGCAAAGCTGTGTTCCAAGAAACATGGGCTGTGGCCAGGCCTCAATGGGCCGCATTGCACTAAAGCACTGTCACCCTCCCTGGCCCCAAGCCCACACACTGACCTCGTCATCACCAGGACTCCGAGGCTGACCCGAGGCCCTGCACACAGTAAACACCCAATAAGTGCGCTGCTGCATCTGCTACCACTGCAGTGACCACGACATTTTGGGGTCTGACCCACCACATTCCAATTCCTATTTAAACCTGTGTCTCCCCTCTCCACGATGTGGCCCTGAAGGACATACTTCTGTCCATATTTAATCCCACATCCGTGATGCGGCCCATTCCCGCTTCCACTGCTGGCATGCGTGCACTCACTGCGGCGCCGACATGTAGCCAGACGACCTCACTGCACTGTGGAAAACCAGGGGCCGGTCCTGGACGCTGCTCCTCGCGGCTGTACCAAAGGATTTTAAAGAAGAAAAAAATGTTTGACATTACAATTTCATTATGGACATCGAAACATCCTCATCTCTTAAAACAGAAAAATTCACACAAATAGAATGAGTTTCTGACCCACAAAACTAAGAGGTTTCATACCTGAAGTCAAACCAACCAATAATAGCAAAAGATTAAGTCAAGAGGATTAGAAGTATAAGAAATTAAGACAAGTCTTTTCTCATTCTTTAAGTTACAGTAAATGGCAACATGTTTACTACTATGTATTACGAATACTTGAGGACCAGGTGCTGGGCGCAGGTCCCTCCCTGGAGGAGAGTGTGGGGAGAGCGGCCCTGCTGTACCCAGAACTCTCCCTGTGAACTCTGCCCCTGGGATGACGGACACAGAGCCACCGCAGAGCAACTCACTCTGTACATTAGTGATTGACACAGCCTCTCTACAAACAAAAGTCTCAATTATCTTAAATTAATTCAAATTTCTTTTTATGGTCTTTGTTTATCACGTGACAGGATACTAAGATAAGCTATTAACATCAGTACACTTTAATGGCAATGAAACTTCTTACCCTATTTTTAACATATTATACATACATAACATAATTTTCCACAGCACTGCCAGTTGATAAAAACTAACATCAAATGAACTTTACAAATCTCAAAATGCTTTCAGAAACACAGTTTTGCCAGAACTATTTATTTTTACATAAATTTAATATTAATATTAGGTATTATTAGGTATTATTTGACTATTCTGTACACTATTATAAAATAGCTTTAGAAAAAGGGATAATTGCATAAATTGAGCAATTCTAAAAATAGTGCTCTCTTTTTTTTTCTTTAGAGAGGGGGTCTCACTATGTGGCCCAGGCTGGCCCCAAACTCCTGGGCTCAAACGATCCTCCTGCCTTGCCTCTGGGGTAGCTGGGACTACAGGCACCACTGTGCTCAGCTTCCTCTTTGATTTTTAAATAAAAAAAACTCGGTTCTATTTTTGGTGCTATTTCAAACCTGATAACCTGAAGCATATTCCCACTAAGAACTAAGTGTCCCTGGTGAGCAGAGTATTAAATTAGCATTCCAGATGTCTCACGCTGCCAAATCGAAGTGTGAGAGGTGATCAGGAACCAGAGAGCCAGATCTCCGCCCTGGGCCTGCACATCACCTGCCTCACAGGCCCTCAGGGCAGGGTCCAGAGCGGGAAGGAAGCGGGGAGTTGAAGGGAGAAGGGGCCCCCTACAGAGCGCGGGCCCCAGAGGGAACGCTCAGAGGGAGGGAGAAACAGAAACCCAACAGGGAAACTGTTCTAGCCATAGCATCCTCTCAAGAAAATTAAAATATTGCCAACAGGAAATAATTTCAGGATAAAATAACAAAGTTATAGGCACATGAGTATACTTCATTATGAGAAAGTCTTCAAAGTTTTAGAATAAAGTTCATAAATATATAACAGCATATTATTTTTAGAAATACATTAGGCACTAAATTATAACAGTTCTTTATCTATCACATATATTCTGTTTACATTATAACTATTATGCTTTTGTAAGTAGAATAATGCCAATTTTAAGATTATAAATTACTATAAATAAAATATATTCATTAATTTTCTACATATTTTCTAAATGATCTATAAAACATCAACTTTCTTGCTACAGAAGAACTGTGATCTCTGTAATAAACCTTAGTATTTTACCTAGTTGTTCTTACTAAAGATTTTGCTCTAAAATTTAAGTATTATATTTAGTTGTGAAGCATGGTACACCATACACACTCATCCGAAATAAGATGATCCACATTAACAAAAAATGAAAAATTTCACTTCTGAGATGTGATCTCATATGTAAGAAAAAAAGCTAAAGAAACAAATAAGTTTTAAAAAGAGAGGAAATCACGTGACTTGGCCTTGGGTTGCATGCGGTGCTACGACCACACTTCCGGGACGCGGTCTGAGCCCTCGCTGTTGGACACGGCGCACAATGCAGCGCCCGCCGTTTGACATACAAAGTCTTTGAGTGGAAATACATTCAGAATTTTGAAAAATTATCTGAACAACCTACTATTATTCCAACTATTAGCAATGTTAATTAATGTTGGTTAGTCAAGTTTTTCCAAAAAATTTTAATAGAAATGTATATATACACATAAAATTCTACTGGCACCAATTAAGCAAACAATTCAAAAACATTGTTTATACTGCACAACAATGTGAAGGTTCCTAATGCCACTGAACCATACATCTAAAGATGATTACAATGGTAAATTTTATTTTATATATATTTTACAATAAAAAACAAGAAATAAATGAACTGAGGGCAGAGCAAGATGGCTGAGTATAAACCGCCAGCAATCGTCCCTCCCCACGAACACCAGATTCAACAACTATCCACGCAAGCAAGTGCCTTCAGAACCAAAACCAGGTGAGCAATCACAGTACCCGGTTTTGACATCATGCCAGGAGAGGGGCACCGAGAGGGCAGGACAGACAGTCTAGTGCTGCCCACGCCGCCCTGCCCCAGCCTGGGCAGTGCTGCTCCAGGGCCCAGGGGAGAGAGAACCTGTGTGCCGGGGAGGGAGAGTGGCGAGACTGTGGGACTTTGCATTGGAACTCAGGGCTAGCGTGGCACAGGCGAACACAGCACAGGGCAGAATTCTGCCAGTGCCTACGGAGGGAGCACTTAGCCCAACCCGGCCAGAGGGAAATCCTCCGCCCCGAAACCTGAGTTCTGGCTAGCTCCACCACCCACTCACAAAAGCAGCCCGGGGCCTGGACTAAATTCGTAAGGCAGTTGGACCACAAAGGCTGCAGTCCTTGGGCAATTCCTGCAGCTGTGCTGGGTCAGAGCCAGGGGACATGGGGTGCATGTGACCCAGGGAGACACCAGCTGTGACCAAGCCAGCGCTTGTGTCACCCCTCCCCCAACTGCAGGTAGCACGCCTCAGGGAGTCTTCTTCCACTTGGGGATAGGAAAGGGATAATTCAGATGACTTTGTTTTACAACTTGGGTACCAGCTCAGCCACAGTAAATACAGTATCAAGCAGACTCCTGAGGCCCCTGAGTCCAGGCCTTAGTCCCTGGACAGCATTTCTAGACCCACCCCGGGTGAGAAGAAAATCCACTGCCCTGAAGGGAAAGACCCAGTCCTGGCAGGATTCACCCCCTGCTGACTAAAGAGCCCTTGGGCTTTGAATAAACATCAGAGGCAGCCAGGCAGCAGTCACCACAGGCTCTGGTGAGACTGGGCTGAGTGCAGGTGTGATCTGGTGCTGGTGGCCATGAGGAAGTGCCCATGTCACTTCTCCCCCAACTCCAGCAGCCCAGCACAGAGAGCCAGGGAAGAGAGTGAAAGACTTTGCCTGGTAATCCAGGGAACTCTCCTGTGTCTTACCCAAGTCCACCAAGGCGGTACCACCAGGAATCTGCAAGAGTCACAGCATTAGTGGGCTTGGGGCACCCCCAGTGCTGATACGGCTGCAGTGCCCAGAGACTTAGACCACAACACTCAAGTCCTTCTGAATACCTGGAAAGCCTTCTTAAGAAGGACGACTTCAAACAAGCCCAGACTGTGAAGATTAAAATAAATACCTAACTTTTCAGCGCCCAGACATTGGCGAACATCCACAAGCATCAAGAACGTCCAGAAAGATGTGACCTCACCAAATGCACTAAATAAGGTACCAGTGACCGATCCTGGAGTGAGGGAGATATGTGACCTACCAGACAAAGAATTCAAACAGCTGTCCTGAAGGAGCTCAGTGAACTTCATGACAACACAGAGAAGGAATTCAGAAGCCTCTAAGAGAAATTTAACAAACAGATTGCAATAATAATAATAAAAAAAAAGCAGAAATCCTGTAGCTTAAGAATTCAATTGACAAACTGAGAAATGCATCAGAATCTCTCAACAGCAGAACTGACCAAGCAGAAGAAAGGATTAGTGAGCTTGAAGACAGGCTATTTGAAAATACACAGTCAAAAGAGAAAAAATAAGAAAGAACAATAAGAATGAAATACGCCTACAAGATCTAAAAGCTAGTCTCAAAGGGGCAAATCTAAGACTTATTGGCCTTAGAGAGGAGGTAGAGAGAGAGATTGGGGTAGAAAGTTTATTTGAAGATATAATACCACAGAAGTTTCAGGTACAAGAAGGTCGTAGAACACCAAGCAGATTTAACCCAAACAAGGCTACCTCAAGACATCTCATAATCAAGCTCCCAAAAGTCATGGATAAAGAAAAGGTCCTAAGGGAAGCAAGAAAAAAGAAAAAAATACATGTAAGGGAGCTCCAATACATCTGGCAGCAGACTTCTCAGTGGAAACCTTATAGGCCATGAGAGAGTAGCACGACATATTCAAAGCCCTGAAGGAAAAAAACCTGAACCCCAGAATATTCTATCCTGAAAAAACAGGATATTCTATCCTGCAAAAACATCAAGGAGAAATAAAGGCTTTCCCAGACAAACAAAAGCTGAGGGCATTCATCAACACCAGACCTATCCTACAGGAAATCCTAAAAGGAGTTCTTCAATCTGAAAGAAAAGGATGTTAATGAACAATAAGAAATCGTCTGAAGGTCTAAAACTCACTGGCAACAAGAAGAATACAGATACAGAATACTCTATTGCTATAATTGTGGTGTATAAACCACATATTTTCAGTGGGAAGACTAAAAGACAAACCTATCAAAAATAACTATAATAACCTTTTGAGAGATAGATAGTATAAAAAGATATGGATGGAAACAACAAAAGTTAAAAAGCAGGGGGAGATGGAGTTAAGGGTAGAATTTCTGTTAGATTTTTATTTGCTTATTTATCTGTTTGTAAGAAGAGTTGTACTATGTTTAAAATAATTGGTTATAACATGTTTTATGCAAGCCTCATGGTAACCCTAAATCAAAAAACCTACAATAGATACACAAAAAATAAAAATAAGAAATTAAAACACACTGTCAGAGAAAATCACTTTCAACAAAGGAAGACAAGAAGGAAGACCACAAAAAAAAAAAAAACCAGAAATCAAATAACAACATGGCAATAGTAAGTCATTACCTACAATAATATTAAATGTGAATGGTAAACTCTCCAATCAAAAGACATACAGTGGCTGAACGGATAAAAAAATAAGAGCCAACTATATGTTGTCTGCAAGAAACGCACTTCACCTATAAAGACACACATAGACTGAAAATAAAGGGATGGAAAAAGACATTCCAAACAAATGGAAACCAAAAAAGAGCAACAGTAGCTGTACTTCTGTCAAGAAAATAGATTTCAAGACAAAAACTGTATAAAGAGACAAGGAAGACCATTATATAATGATAAAGGGGTCAATTTAGCAAGAGGACATAACAACTCTAAATATCTATGCACCCATCACCGGAGCACCCAGATATGTAAAGCAAATATTATCAGAGCTAAAGATAGAGACAGACCCCGATGCAATAACAGTTGCAGAGCTCAACACTCCACTTGCAGCCTTGGACAGGTCACCCAGACAGAAAATCAACAAGGAAACACCGAACTTAACCTGCACTACAGACCAAACGGACCTAATAGATATTTACAGAACGTTTCATCCAATAGCTGCAGAATACAAGTTCTTCTCGGCTCATGGATCATACTCAAGGACAGACTAGATGTTAGGCCACAAAACAAGTCTTAAAAATTCAAAAAAAATCAAATCGTACCACGTATTTTCTCTGACCGCAATGGAATAAAACTACAAATCAATAACAAGAGGAACACTGGAAAATATACACACATGCGGAAATTGAACAATATGCTCCTGGACGAGCTGGGTCACCAGGGCACAGGACAATCCTCAGAAGTGTGAACCGTCACGACTGCGCCGGAGAAAAGCAAAGGCAGAGCAGACCGGGAACAAGCAGGGACTGCAGGAGTAACCAGAACCTCCCAACAGAGAAAATCCGGGCAGAAGGCCTCAGGCTGAATTCCACCAAGCATTCAAAGAAAAATCAAAACCAACATTTCTGGAACTTTTCTGAGGAACGGAGGTAGCGGGAGCACTTCCAAACACCTTTGTGACGTTACCTCAATACCTGGGCCCAAAAAAGACACCACAAGGAAAGAAAACTACAGGCCGATTTCTTGGATGAAAATTGATGTAAAAACCCTCAATAAAATATTAGCAAATGGACCCAGCAACACAACAGAAAGGTTATATACATCGTGGGATTTATCCCAGACACGTAAGGCTGGTTTTATACTCAAAATGAACCATATACTTAATTTAAAAATTTTATACCAACTATTCCAGGTACAGAAACAGAGAAAATTCTCCCAGCTCGCTCTGTGGTGCATACACCTTCAGAAAGAAACCAAACTCATCAAGTTCCTCGGAAATAAATCACTCGAGAACATGAATCAAAAACATCATACACAAAATAGCAGCAAAGAGATAAATACAAATTGGATTTGATGCAGCAAAACACAATTACACATAAAAAATAAACATCTCATTTTTAATCAGGGAAATGCAAATAAAATTACAAGAAATGTTGTGCAAAAGTCCTGCAGTCGGACAATACCCAGGGTTGGCCTTGTGTTGTGCTGATGGTGCCCAATGGCATTGCTGACACCAGAAAAGGCCTAGAGACAGAACAAAATCCATCAATATTAAATGAATTGTGGGTAAACTGTGCATTCAGACAGCGGAATGCTGCGTAGCAGCTGAAATAAATCTCAAACCTGCCATGGAAAAGGCAAATCACAAAGGAATGCACAAAAGAAAGAATGTTACTCTATTTATAAACAGTCCCAGAACGGACAACTTTCCACAATACACCCTAAGGAAGGACCATAGGTGTCGAGACTGTGGGAGGGAGAGGAGAGACCACTGTGGTGGAGGAAAGGGTCGGAGTCGAGACCAGGAGGGCCTACGCGGCCCCCGGACACTCTGCAACCACCTTCAGACTGGCAGGTATGTTCTGTCTTCTCTGCTCCACGTATGTGTTGCAGCTTAAGATGCTTTTTCCTTTTTTCTTCCCAAAATATTAAGGGGGTACAAGTGCTTTTGTTACATGGATTCCTTGTACAATGCTGAAGTCAAGGATTTCAGTGTGCCGGTCACCAGACTAGTGTTCTTTGTACATGACAAGTAAGTTTTTACTTTTTCAACAGCAAATAATTAACACTTTCTTAAGACATTGCAAGTTTCGTTATTCAGTGAGGAAACACGTCAGAAAGGCCATTCCCAGCAGAAGGGACTACAAGTCTGCTACGTCCACACATGGCGTGAAGAGCCCTGGCTGCTCCTGAGCAGGTTCACTCTCACAGCCCTGGAGCTGCTTCTGCAGCTGGTGGCGGGGCAGGACACACAGCAGGAGGAGATCGGCACTTAACTCCGACAGGGAGTATTTTGGGGATAGAAGGTAGGAGGGGTGGGGCTGGTTGGAAACCCCCGCTGAAGCTGGGGCTCCCACTGCAGCCCAAAACTCTGCTCTGGGTTTGGGGTCACCCATCAGAACTGCCCCCGCCACGCTCACATTGATGTGCAAAAGCCCCTCCACCCCAGCGCCCAGTGACTGTAGCACTTTTCACCATCATTTTAACGTGATTTGTTCCATCGGCTCAGAGCCTAAAATGGTTTTGGCAGGCAAATCTATGTTGAGGCCCAGCTAACTGGATATTTCACCATCATTCGAAGAATCGTTTGTTGGAGCTGGTTTTTGTGAGATGCGGAAAGTACAGGTCCCGCGTCAGTCTTCTGTCGGGAAAGGCAACCCCTGACTGCTGTCATCGCCATCAGAGCAGGTTTGTGAACAGTGATCCACGCCAACCTCTCCACTGGCATGTAAGCTCCGTCAGAGGGCAGGAATCTGTCCACTCGGCTTAAAACTGCACCTTACTGAGAACGGCGCCTGGCGCCTAAGAAAGGGCCGGACAACTGGCCGAGCGCATGGACCCGTGCGCGAGGTAATGTGGCGCGATGCACAAGAGCCTTGTCGGAGACGGCGGCTGAGATTCGAAATGAAGACATCGTCACAGCGAAGAAGATGAGTTTGTAGGACTTAGTGACCAACAAATGTAGGTGATGAGAGAGGAAAGAGGGAGCAAGGATGACCCCGAGACTCCCAGGAGTAGACAAAAGCGCTCCACGCCCAGACGGTGGAGGGAGAGACACAGGCCAAAAGAAGAAAGGGGATATGAAGAGAAGTACTGAAATTTCCCCAAGTCTGAATTCCAGCAAGTAACTGAAACTCGGGTCCTCCAAAAATGAGGACAAAAATAGACCTTCTGGCTGTCACTCAGGAGAAAAGTCTATCCTTGTGGCATCGTCCAAGCCTGAGCAGTGCGTGGGAAGCTGCCCACGGAGAGTCCTAGGGGAGGACAGGAAGAAAGCCCCCTGCAGGGTGCGGCTGGCCAAGAGAGGGAGACAGCGAGTGAGAGAGGGAGACAACTAAGTGGCCAGAAGACCAGGCCCCCCGAGCTTCAGAAGCAGAGGGAGAGGTCCAGACAGGACACACTGCGTGACCAGACTGTCGTGAGGGGAGATGATGCTCACCAGTCCTGAAGGTGAGAGCTCAGCCCTCTCGCACCCCAGATCACTCCAGGAGTACGGCCGGTTTCAACCCCACCGTAAGTGGAGAAGAGCAAATGAGACCCCGGAAGAGGAGGAGAAGATGGTTAGAGCACGACTTCACAGTGTGGCGGAGAGGGACCCCGAGGTCAGGACGCCGACCACAGCCCCGTCCCGGGCACAGGAGAGGCCAGGTCAGGGCCCAGAGGGCAGGATTCCTGCTAGAGCAGAGGGACCCTTCCCCAAAGGCAAGGAACACACAGGGAGGCATCTACGAAGCAGAATTTCAAATTTTAAATTAGGTCCAGTAAGAGGTTTGACAAGACTGATTAAGAATTTAAGTTGGTCACTGAGGGGAAAAAGTATTATAATTATCAATGAGTCTTGTAATGAAATAAACGGAACACAATGAAGTCTACCATCTTCAAATGCAAGTTAATTTTAAGATTATTTCTTTGAAAAAAGCAACACGCGGATTTCTTTGACTGCTGTTTAGAACAAACCAATGAAAAGATATTTTTGAGACAATCAGGAATAATTTATTTTGGCCTGGCTACTACAAGATACCAAAAGTCACTGTTAGTTTTGACATGATGTCACTGTGGCCAGGCAAGAATGTGGAGTTTCAGAAACACATGCTAAGTACATTGGAGTAAAATAACACGGTGTTGGAGATTCACTTTAAAATTCTCCCGCAGACAAAAAGGGAAAAATTCACTACGACGATAAATCACCAGAGGGTCCACTAGGTGCCACCACTGCCCTAGCCACCAGAGCCAGCGGTCCGTGTCCACACGTTTCTGAATTCCCAGAAACTGTGCCTGATTCAGGAAAAGAGACATCTGGCACCTTCCCTCCCGCAGACGACACATAATGGATGTGTGGAAGAGAAGGAGCGAAGGAGGGGAGAAGTGAGGAGTTTACATTCTCACCGATGAGCCCACAGAGCAGCATGACAGTGCTGACGGCCATGAGAACCGCTCACTCTTGTGTTTTTATGTATCAGGGCGTGTCATACTGACCGGATCGTTTCTGACTGGCAGGTTTAGTACTTTTTTTCTCATCAATTCCAAAATACAGTGGAGAGGTTGGTAGCACACAGGAGCTAAAATAAAAATAAAACCATGCTATGAGAGCAAACAACTGCATGATAAAATTATTTCAATGAAACATAGTTTCAGGACAGTTATAAATGATTAACTGATACAGATATATACACACAATACTTAGAAATGAAAACTAGCAAGCTAATTCTTGTAGAAAAATAATATATTTTTAATAAAAGTGTCATTTTATAATTTACATTCTATCCTGAAATAAAATAATGTTTCATGTTAAAATAAATGTTTTAGTTTTATTTAACTATGGAAGCCATGGCATGAAAAATAGTTTCTTTCAAACAAGGTTAGTATATTTGAGAGTTTACTAAACTTTACTTTTCATTGTTAACATAAAAAGGAATCTGAAATGCTGTTAACTCTCTCTCTCTCTCTCTCTCTCTCACATACACACAGGAGCGCGCGCAGCCCATGCGGACTCTACCTGGCCAGCACCGAGAGACACTGCCTCGCACCGGGGCTCCGCTGAGACGCGAGCAGCAGGGCCGGGTTGATTTCTAGCACGGCGATCTTCTTCCCAAACATGGACGTGAGCAGGCACAGCGCCTACAGGGGTAGGGCCTGGACATCATTAACAGTGCCGCTGGGTAAAGAGATCACAAAAGTGCATCCGAAGTGCTAATCGCTAAACCTGCTGTTTTTACACTAACAGTTTTATTATTTGACGGGTGTTAGTAGTCGCATCATACTGTGTAATTCACAAAAATTTCACATATAAAATCTCACTGGGCAAGAAATTATAATACCATGCTGCGGAAAGTAGGTATAAATCAAAAGCACAGATGCACGTTTCACAGAACATGAATGTGGAAAACGTTTTATGACTAACCTTACGATTAACAGTTTTGCTCATCACGATGCACGATCCAGCGACATGAATGCTGAGGCCCCCAAAATCTTCACGTTCCGCAAGGATAAAGAAACAGTGTTGAAGGGGCACGTAAAGGGAACCACGAACTCACTGAGCCACTCATTCCACCTATTTGAATGCCCAGGACACCCCAGGCACCGCGTTGGCGGCTGGGGACACAACGCGGGATGAGGCTCAGGCTAGCAGAGCACTGGAGCTCCAACGCGGACACGCTGTCAAAGCCATGGTAGTGCCGGGAAGAGGGGACGGAGTCTGCAAGGGGAGCCACGCCTGGACCAAGCTAGTGACAGGTGAGCCGAGTCTCAAGGAGCAGTGGAAGTGGCCGCCAAAGGCACCAAGACAGGGGACAAAAGGAGAGCAACTTCCCAGGAGGCGAGGGGGGCCTGGGCTGAGCTGCGGAGTCTCTACTGCATCCTAGAAGCAATGGAAGCCACAGAAAGATGAAAGCGCAGGAGTGCTGGGATCAAATCTGCATGTAGGAGCAGGGCCCAGGGATTCGATTGCAGAGGGAAGGAGTGGAAGGTGTCCCAACAGTCCCATGTTGCTAGTGGTGACAGAAACTGTGGGAGGGAGGCAGGGTGGACAGAGGCCTCCACTCAGCTTCACGCGCCTTCAGCCTGAGCGACGAGGTTCCAGGTGCGCAGCGTCAGGCGCAGCAGGAGTTAGTGTTGACAGAAGCCTCACTGGGGCCTCACAGGTGAGGCGAGCGGGCAGGTGACGGCCGAGCACCCCCAAGGCAGGGAAGAGCAGAACTGACAGGGCGCTGATGACCTCAATGCCTCTGTTGCTGATGATTACAGGAATTGTAGCCTCAAATTCAAATGACGAGGCTTTTTCTACACTTATCAGTCAAAGGAGAATATTAAACTTACCCAAAATTTATATCAAAGAGTACTTGAACTTATGCTTACCCTTGTAATGTAAAACAGCTTCCAATTCAAAGCTTGCCAAGTTAAATACGAATAAACCAGCTGAGCTTCCAATCCACAGGCAGTTAGTATTCTCAGCAGAAAGACTAATTTTAAAAGAAAAGGAAAAAATACTACTCTTATTCCTTCCGGTTCCTTCCACAGTGCTTCACTTAGCATTGCTGCGAATTCTCTGCACGAGTGCTGGCAAGTGCATGCGTCTGTGGGTCACTCAAAGGTGTCTCTGTGCTAGAGCAGTCGGCTGCTCCTTAAAATTGCACTTTGGCTGGGCTGGTATTAAAACCCGTGCTGGGTTTCCTAGGCATCCACTGTCTACTGAAGACAGGTAACTCAGCTCTGACCCGCGTGGTTGGTATTTTCTTCCGAGGGTACAGAAGAGGTTGGTGCCTGCGTCCTTACAGGCCACAGCTCATGTGAGTGTCTGTGTGCCAGCTGCGATACCGGCGTAGTCACTGCACCTGGAGCTGACACCAGCTGCCTGCGTCTGTAGACGAGGAAACAGCTAAGTGGCCCCCAGTAGCAAAGTTAATAAGGAAGCACAGTTGTGGTTGTCGTTCCTGATAAACAAATGAATAAGCCTCATTCTGGCTGCTAGAACTGGACTCAGAGAAGGCCCTCCCAACCAGAATTTTCTCTCCAGCCCTTCCCTCTCTGGGCCCCACCTCCAGCCTGAGTCAGCTGGAGCCACACACCGGGCTGGTTCTTGGCATCCACCAGCACAGTTCACACTGGCCCCAGTCACTGCAAAAAGGATCAACCGTGTGGCTCTCTGCTTACCCTCCGACGGCTCCCACTGCTCTAGAGGGACGTGGAGGGATTGATGTGCCCAGGTCCCCTGACCAGCCAAGGGAACAAGCCAAGCTCTGCTCCTGCACCTGCCCCCTCCCCGTGGCTGGCGCCCAGCAGGGAATGCTCACCAGGCCAAGGCCACTCTCGGCCAGGCTGCCCCCCGCGCACCTGCCACCCATATCTGAGCAGGCAAAAGGCTCCTCTGAGGTAAACTCATAACCCAGGGCTTCTGAAGATTCGGGGGTGGGGGTGAACACATTTATGATATATTCCTCAGTCACAGTTAAACAGCACCTCTTTATGTTGCCAAATAGTTATTATGTTTCTACTGAGCACAGAAATAAATAAAATCCATTTGGAGTTCATTCCAAACGTGTGACACATGGCGCACATGGGGAAGGGACGTTGAGGACTGTGATCACGCTGCCCTTGCTGAGGAAGCCCTGCGGCAGCGGTGCAGACCCCCGGGACTCTGTGAGCAAAGCCAAACATAGTCTGATTCCTTTGATTAAAGATACTTAAATATAATTGACCAAGTTTACCAACCACAAGACTTAAAATGTAGGATCCTAAGAACACTTACAGTTAGTAATAATCAAAGAGACAAAGATAATTTGGTTTTATTTTAATCATTTGGTAAAAAGAAAACCTAATGTTCACTTAAGGAATTAAGAAGTTCTCTTCATATAGCTTTTGCCCAGTTCCCCACACTCACAATTCACACTCAGAGTCCGGGATGAGAGAAAGGTCACAGGGCCCGAGTGTCAGCACAGGAAACGCGGCGTCGGCCCTTTCCTGCTCCAGTCCGTGTGTAGAGGGCAGATGACTCTCGTCTAGAGAACGGAATTATCGACAATCTGAGCAGTGACATTTAAATCTGTCAATGAAATTTGAGGGCTCCCGGCTGACACGCTGAGATGCGGTAAACATGTGTTGCTAAAACAAATCACGGGTCAAGGAAAGCCCTGGAAACACATCCCGTGTGACGTGGTTTATCAGACGCGGAATCTCAGCATGGAACCCAAGGCAGTGGGGGAGAGAAGACCGTCAATTCAAAGCGCCAACCCCACAGTTCCTGAAACGGGTCCGAGATTCGCTTCAGTAATAAGGATTTATAAAAGAAATAATGAAAAACAAGGCTTAAAGCATTAGGAAAAAATATGTATATTGAATAAAGGTAATTTGAGACCTAATAAAAAAAGAAACAGTTGAAAGTCATACACAAAATAACAAAAACTAAAATAATGACAACAACATAGGGATAAACGTGTGCAGCTGCAAAGACACACTGGCCAACACGCAAAGTTCAACATAGGCTCTTAAGGAGGAGAGTCAGTAACCAAATTAAAAAATAAAGCCAACAAGCTCCTTCTGTGTCAGTAGCAGAGACAGCAAGGCATCTGGGACGGGGCTGGAATGCAGATAGATGTAGATATGCAGAAGCACCTCTGGGCAGCAGGAGAGACCAGGCGGGGCGGGCGGCTCTGTGCCTCGTGGTGTCCCGTGTGCTCAGTGTGGACAGGCCCAGGACGGCAGGAGGGCCTGCAAACCCTGGACCCCAGCCCCAGTACAACCACCGAGGCAGCTGCTCTCCAAGGACTGAAGCCCTGACACACAGCAAATGCCTTCCCCGGTGCTAGTCTTCCTCCTCCCTCTCACCTGTGGCCCTCCAGAGCCTCCGTAGCTATCTGAGGCCATGACCCTGGGCTCTTCCCAAATAGGGAACTTTCTCCTCCACCCTCGCCCTCCACTCTGCCCAGATGCCCACAGAGTCCAGAGCCCCACGAATGCTGAGGGTCAGGCGACATACCTGGCTGGCGGCACAGCCCAGCCCTCACCCTCCTAGCAGAGAAGCTTGTTCTCCTCTTCCTCAGGTCCACGCAGGCCACACGCCGGTAGTGGTGTCTCTCAGCCAAACTGAAGACCCAAAGCTACAGAAGTGAACACAGGCAGACACAGCTTCCGGCTCACGATGAGACAGTGAAACCCAACGAGAAAGATGAGCTGAGTGCAGACAGGTCACAAGGCATGGGTCACTCTTGGTCACGTAGAGAACCAACTGCACAGTTCTTCGTTGCTCTTTAACCCCCATGCTTGGACCCTTCCCTTCTGCCGACACCCGCAGCCAGAGGAGGATTCTGGTGCCAGGTGCAGGCAGAACACAAGCCAACAGGATCCCTGCCCCAGGGACCTCCCACGGCACAGTCTTCCCAAAGCCATCAACACACCTGACACACCACTGAGTGACAAGACACAACTTTGTCAAAAAGTAAGTGATCTTAATTTCCAAAAATACAACTTTTTCAAAGTATATCAACAGCAACTTTATCCAGGTGTTGTGAGGTAAACTCAAAATGCTCACCTAAAAAAAACCTTTAGAAAAAGACTAATTTAAGTATCTTCAAGTTTTTCAAAAATGTATAAAGCTGACACTAGTGGTGACATGAGTGGCCTCAGCCCGGGCTGCCCGCGAGGATCACGTGCAGAGCTGTGCAGAGGAAGGTGGTGGCCCCTTTGCACACCAGGGTCTTGGACTATGTTAAAAGCCCCGCACCGATGCTGACACACAGAAGGTTACAGGACCAGCACACTGAGGTGGGCTGCTTTCTTCAAATCACAAGAAAATACAAAGTAATAGGAAATCAAAGACCTTTTGTGCGCATGTTCACTTATACTAATGTTCGCAAATTGGAATTTAACATGTGGCTCCCTCACCTGGCCATCGGCACAGCCGGTCACAAGCTGCCTACTCTCTGGGTCGATGAATAAACTGAGAAGAGGATATGCTGTTAAAAGGAACATAAGAATATTTATCTTGAAGCATCGGGTATCATGTAAGCTGAGAATTAGAATTTGTTTTATGATATTTATTTTAGTCAAGTTTATACTATTCCAAAACAATTTCTTCATCAAAAAGTAAAAAATGTAAGAGAATACAAATCTTGAAACCTCCACAAGGATGATGGAAGCCAGGAAAGTAATGTCAAAAGTAAAGCCCTGGTGGCCGGTAGTGAGTCCTGACATCACATCCACCTGCCCAACAGAAAGCCTGGTGTGCTCACACCACGCCCCTGCACCATCACCTCCACAACCTGGGACGTGACAGTGGCAATAGAGTGACTCCTAAGCCAGCCAGAAATAATAACATTATGGATTTAGTGATGAAAACAGCAATTAAATGGATGTCTTGTTTTCTAAAAATTCGTTGCCAAGAATGTCATTTCATTTAAAACTTACTCTAAACTGTCAAGAATTTGGAAAGATAAATGGATATTAAAAATACTGTATGTTTTAAATAAACTATAAAAGGCATCAAAGATCAAGTGTACAATTGTTCTTGACAGTCAAATAATAATCTCACATAATTTGTTTCAGAAAAATATTTCCAACATCCTTCCAAGAAATGTGATTTATCCCTGAGATAAAGCAATATATTCAAGTTGCTAAAATACCAGTCTGCACAGAGATAAATTAACTCAGAAGGAATGTTAAATCTTTGATAAAATATAATAATCACTCTACCAAGTCACTAAGGTATCTGTGTATTCTTTGAGGGGCATTTTCATGTTCCTCATCTTAAGCAAGAACTATCTTATTCTAATTTCCTCTTGTCCCAGGAAAAGAGAATGCGTACACAAGAGGAGCAAAATAAATGCTAGGAAACCTGTCCCACGGATGTGAGGGAGACAGATAGGAGTGGCAGGTGAGGTAGCTCCGGGGCATCACTCGTGACACCCCCTCTGCTCCAAGGCCAGCACCAAAGAAATCTCTTAACACTGCTGAACATATCGTATGACCCTGCGTCTGTGGTCAGGGACTGGTTTCCTTTACTCTGACGGAGGTGCGCAGCTGCCTTGATTCACGAGCGGCACAAGTGCATGATGCCGGACCATGGAGTGGGATGTGCCGCCGGCGCCTAACCACAGGTTGGATCGCAGAGAGATCCCGCCCCACACGTGCCTTAGTGCTGGGCTTTGTTTGCATGGGCCGCCGCGGGCTGGCTGTGCCCTGCGGTGGTCAGACATTTCATCTGAGAGAAGAAAGGCTAAGATTCCAAGCATATGTTTAATTTTAAGTTAAAAACTTCAAGGACACTACGTGTTAAATGAATCATTTTAACACGTGGATGGAGGACCGCTGAGTGGGACTGTCTGCGCCAGACCCGCCTGCGCGGCACAGCTCGGAGTCAGGGAACAGCAACAACATACTAGCAGGATGCGGTTATGCACAGCCTGTTTCCAGGAAATATGAACAACGTTTAAATTTACCTGTTAACACGGATGAAGTGTATATTAACGATCCCGTACAACAGTCCCAGACCTTTGGAGAAACGTAAGATTCTTCAGAAGAGGTAAAAATGGTGCCAGTATTGCAAAAGCTCAAACCTTTGTTAGTTCAAACTAACAATTCTACCTAATATATATTAATCAATGTACATGATTATCTAAAACAGAAGATAATACAACAAGCATATATGATGAAACTGTAGAACACAATAAAAGATGTCATAATCATTTAGAAAAAAAACTTAACACTTCCAAAAATAACCACCTATGGATTTGAAAAAATTGGAAAAAACAAAAATAAGACAAAGTTAGAAACACTTCCTAGGCATGTATTCAACACTCTCAAGCTAGAAATGTAAATTAAATTGCTGCAGTCCACACCCGGACCCGCAGGTGCTCACGCACGTGGCAGGCCCACGCCCTGACCCGCAGGTGCGCACTCACGTGGCAGGCCCACGC